CACACTAATTTTTACAATGCCGCAAATTAAAATTTTCAAAAAAATAAGTAAATAAATAAATAAATAGATAAATAAATAAGGAGGTGGAGGAGAGTGAAGAGAAACTRACCAAGTTTTRGATTTTTCAYAAATTTCGGCAGCACTTCGTTACCCCCACGGGGTCAAAATGTGTGCCGAAAGCAAGAATGGCTAAGTCCTAATCAGATTTTAGGGTGCCGCAGAAAAATTCGAATTTTTAAAATAAATAAAGAAAAATAAAATAAATCAGAAAGATGAGAAAAGAAGTAGGGAAGAAGATAATTCGAATTTTTGGAGAAACGGGGAAAATTTAAATCAAAAAGAAAGAGAAAAGAAGAAAAACAGAAAAAATTGAAGTGGGGGGGGGTGGGATGAAAAAGTGATGAAAAAAAGAGAAAAATAGGTGGGAAAGAGAAAAGATTGAAATGGTAGGTGAGGGAGATGATGGGGTTGTAGTTAGGGGAAGAAAGGAGGAGAGGAGGGTGAGAGAATGAGAGAGAAAGCTATGGAAAAGGTGAAGAAAAGAGTGAGAGATTAGTAAAAGAAGGTGAGTGGAGAGAGAGGAGAGAAAAAGATGGTGGGAGATGAGTGAAGAGGGAAGGGTATGAGAGATTAAGGGGAAGGAGAGGAGAGAAGTAGGGAAAAGAAGCAAGGAGAGTGAGGTTGGGAGAGGAGAGAGTAAAAATATGGTAGTGGMTGGAGAAAGAGTGAAGGGGATGAGAGATTAGTGGGGAGAAGAGGAGAGAATGATAAAAGTGGAGAGAGGAGTGAGAAAAGGTGATGGATGAGTGGTGGTGAGAGAAAAAGAAGGTCAGATGATGAAGGGGAGAGAGGGAAAAGGGAGTGGGAGAGTGGATTAGGGATGAGAGAGGTGATACCCAACTCTTGGGTAACCAAGAGCATACAACTTCACCAAGATTCACAAGATCTTGGCCTTCACACACCCCTTGGGAGAGGGGGTCTTCAAGGTCGTGATGAGCTGCTGCTGCACATTATCTGGGGTTGGCTGAGATCTTGATCAGCCACCCARTTCCACTGTAGTGCAGCCCCCTAGCCAGGGGGGTCTTCAAAAACAAATCCTCAGCAAACTGCCACGTGGTACTTTTGGGGATGGTCACGGGTCAAGAGAGGAGATGTAGAGGGCAAAAACTCTTTTGCCAATGACTTTTCACCCGCTGGGTGAAATTTGGCAAAAGAGGTATTGTTGGAAAGCTTTTTGAAAGCCGCTTCCAACGAAATAAGGCGCAGCATCAGCCACCGCCTAGAGTAATAGCGCTCGTTGAAAAAACGAGCGCGGGTGGTTATTTTGGAACTTTTAAAAAAATTGCACTCTTTGAAAGATCGTAGCTCCTCAACCACCACACAAAATTAGGCGATCTATAGCTTGTTGGTAGCGGCTCGTCGAGAGCTTTCCAACAAGCTAAAGAGCAATACATTTGGACCACCGGTACAGAAGTTACAATCGAAAGAATGCACCGGTGTCATTACCAAAGAAAAGTGGCGAG